GCAAAGTGCTTCTGTTCATCTATTCTTTTTTTTGTAGCCACCCAAGCTATCCGATTTGATACAGAGCTTCGATGTTTTTTCACTAGAACTGTGTTATCGGACGAGAAGCCGCCTCCAAACCAGGCAGTCGTCTCTTCTCTGCCAACGCCCACACCCACACGCCCCTCTGTCGACTGCTTCTTTGCCGCTTAATTTTTGTCATTCTTCTTTCATTCGGATAGCGTAAGTTTGCTGTAATGAATTTCATTCAACAAAAGGACCTTCCGTTGCTCTTAGATACATGACGATATACACACTAACACTAGAGTAATCAATTCTAGTCTTTATACGTTTCGACTAGTCCACTTGTCAAAACGTATACGTTCACAGCCCTAATTGACGGATGATTTCATTGAACAGGGAGTATAACTCCAGTGAATACCGAATTAATCATTCTTGTTCTTCAAGACAGCATCTGCCTACCGGGCTGCGCACTATCGTAATACAAGAGTATATCGTTGTAGCGTCATCATCATCGTCGTTCGTCATCATTATCTTCATCATTTATTAGCAACAGCAATATGCCTCCCACGCAGTCATGCATAGCTCGAGCTGTGCGAGCAATAAAACGACTTCACGTGCCTGGCGTGTCGTATGCTGGCAGCCCCCTCCATTCCACTTCAGCCCTGAAATAAACTGGCGAGATTGGTACGGCCACATCCGCCGCCTTCCCTATGTCGTTTCAGTTCTCTCCTCCCGCCAACTCGCTACACTGGCGACCTGAAGGACACGCCCTTCGATGAACCACCATCTGCCATGCTTCCGCCACTCTGCCCGCCAGTGCCGCCGTTCCAGCTGAGCTAACACCAGGCATGGCTCATACTGCTCGATGCTGTTCTCCCTGTGAATGGCGTCGCGGACCAGCCGCCCGTGCATGCCACTTTCTTCGACACGCTGCCACTTGAGTTTCGCCACCTTGCTGCCAAATTAAACATAAGCCCGCAGCTATATTACACCTTCTGCACTGCGGCGGTCACCTGCTACGGACTCACGTAACGCCCGCTTCCGGGGTCCCACGTCTTTGGGGTTGCCACCGCGTCGCAGCAGGTGCTACCAACCAGCCCACAGCCCTTTATTGAAGACAACCTCACTAGCCTGGCTACGACTCCTTCTACCTCAGATTCACTCACAGGGACATCGTATCCTGCACCTGACTACGACGGCCAGGTAGAAGACGCTCCCACTTCGACTTATCTCCCCTCCGAGATGTCCGTCTCCTAAGACCCACGTACGAAGATTTATTGCACATGCCTGCCATCTTCACGTCCTCCCGTCCTCCACTATATCGATGGCATCTGATACCTCAGCGCCACAAGACTCTACGACGAATACCTCACCGCACGCCCTGGAGCCTGTCACGACCATATAAATCGTCACGCCCGCTACTCACCCCCTATCACGAAGGCATCACTGTCGACGTTGCCGAAGGAGTGTCTCTACCAACCTTAACGCTCAGCGCGTCGTGCCAGCAGCGACTGCTTCACCCTCGAAGTCTTGCGCAGCCGAAGTTAAAACAGGACGACATCCCTGATACACATAATTCAGTGCTGACTACACATCTCACGCCTGCTACGGAGACAACCGTCCATTATACAGACCTATCCTCATGCGCGGACAACCAAAGGTTGTTTCACAAGCATAGGTGTGCTACCCGATTTTCTTGCAGAGCCGACGCTTACTGGGTTTTACAACCACCATCCCAGGTGCCTTGGTCACAGGCCGGCAACCACCAGACTCATGGCCACAACGCAGGCTCGTCGGTCACAACAGCGACGATGCCAAATACTACTGCATGTCTATCACCCATGACACTACGCCGATGGAGTTGACAGACAGACAGACAGACAGACTAACAGACAGACATACAGAAAGACATACAGACACACAGACAAACAAACAGACAGACGCACAGACAGACAGACACACAGACAGAACATTGCGGGCCGCTCCCACGTACGAACGGAAGGCCTAGCCTCACCGCCACACCGTGGGCTATCTGGACAACCTGTAGTTGTGGTAGTAGCACTGAACTTCGTAAGACAGAGTCCCAATCGTCTTCTGTGAGCCGACATGGGCCCCGTAACGAGGGGCATCACCAGACATATGCTCGAAGTCACCAACGTCACCACAATCGAGACAAGTAGAGTCAAAAGCCTCGGAGGAGGCCAAGCTGAGGAAAGATAGACTTGGATAGCATCTGGTCAGGAACATTCTAAACGTGATGGCCTGACGTCTAGACAGCTTGCTGTACGGAGGAGCAAATGACCGCCTACTCAACTGGTAGTGTTTAGCCACTTCACTGAATGTAAGTAAGGCGTCCCTAAACACATCACTGTCAACCTGCTGACCTACGTCCTTCCCAGCGCGGAGGGTTAGTGCGCGTGACCGGGAGTGAGCAGTGTCGTTCAGGTTTATTAGAGAGTCCAGTCAGGGTACGAGATGTGCAGGAAACCATGTAATGGTATGTGAGGAAAGTGTCTTATTTTGAAGTTTAAATATTTCAGCACAGACGGAACCAGAGGCAAAAGCCCTGATTGTTGACTTTGAGTCAGCGAAGATTTGCGATCTACTGTCATCCAAAGGGGCAAGAACTACAACCAACTGTTCAGCTCTTGATGAAGTGAAGTCTCTTACTGACGCAGAATCGATAATAGAACCCTCATGAATAACGGCAATAACTAAAAACCTAGCTGAGCAACCGTACAGAGCGGCATCGACAAAACACCTTGACTCAGGATCGTTATTGATGTTCTTCAGAAGCGTGATGGCCTGACCCGGTGCCTGCCTACGTTGCGCTGAGGATGGACGTTTCGCGGAAAGGGAGAGATCTGGATGGCAGTACGGTGTTCACCTGGCAGTAGAAGACGGTGATCCTCTACGAGCGCAGGGGTGGGACCTAGGATGAACAGAATCTGGCTACCAGCTGGCATAGACGACAGGCGAACCAGATGTGCAGTCTCTTGCGCTTCAATGATCTTACCTAGGGTGTTATGAACTTCTAGTGGTATAATCCGTTCAGTGCTTGTCCGCACGGGGAAGACCATTACCCTCTTTATGCTCCTTGGGATCATATTTTCCAGCTTCTTTTTGAATCCGTACCAAAAGGGCATGGAAGCTACGTACGTTATACAACTCATGAAGAATGCATGAAAAAGAGCCGCAGTAGATTGTCCTCCGCGAGTCCCCCCCCCCTTCTGTTCAAAACCCCATCAATTAAACTGATCATGTTCTCGGTCTTGGTTGAAATCTTAGCAATGGTTTGGCAGTTGTACCCATCCGACTATGTAATGTGCCTAGCACTCTAATCGCGTTCACTCAGGAAAGGCGGGCGCCACGTCTGGTGTGAAGCACAATGTCCACCTCGGATAAAGGCTTCCCATTTTTTCGCTTGGCTCCTTTTTAACTGGGCCTGTGTAAAAGCAGCTCCGATTTACTCGAGGAGCACGTCAGCCCTGTGCCATCGAGGAGGAGCTCCGTCTGATTGACGGCTTCCTGGAGTGAACTCTCGACTTCCCCTTCACTACCTCCACGACACCAGATGGTAATATCATCAGGGAAAAGCGTGTGCCCGATGCCCTTCACATTAGATAGCAATATGGACAACTTGCACATAGCGATGTTAAACAGACGTGAGGATATCACCGCTCCTTGATGCGTGCCTTCAGGGCCCAGTGCTATGCAAGAGGACTTGAGGTCCCCGATATTGAGCGTGGCCTTCCTAGATTCGAGAAAGGAGCTGACGTATCTACGAAAGGCTTCGCCCAGTCCAAGCTCTGAAATGGAGTTTAAGATGTACGCGTCAAAGATGTTGTCAAATGCTTTTTCCAAGTCAAGACTCCGGATGCCTTTTACGTTCCTTGTGTCCTCGCCTATAGCTTGATGTTTGAGTACCTTCATTTTGTCTTGTGCGGACAAAGACGGATGCAACCCAACTATGTTATAAGGAAAGCGACCCTTCTTCTCGATGTACTTGGAGATACGGTTGTGAATGACATGCTCCGCCACCTTGCCTTCACACCACGTTAACGATACGGGCCTAATATTGGCTAAATCTCGAGGTCAGCCCAGCATGAGGATTAAGATAACCGATGCCATTTTGTAATAGTTTGGGACAGAACCTTCTCGCCATATGTGATTAATCTCATCGGTAAGAAGAATAATGTATTTGTCTTCCAGATTTCTGAGGACCCTGTTAGAGATGCCGTCCGGCCCCAGAGCCGGTCGTCTATTAAGATTTCAAATAACTTCTCAGACGTCGCTGACGCTAAAGGGCTCTCTGAGCTCAGTGCAAGGGTTTCCAGTGTAGGACGGGTTGTCTGAACAGCTCGAGAAGTCGATGGGTAGACATCTGTGAGCCACATCATTCAGCATAGCGTCTTCAAATTCAGACTGTCTGGCTGCACGTAGAGTTATGTGGTTTGCCTTTGATTACTCTTCGAATTCGACTTGTTCAAAAGGTGTATTAGCAAATTACAATCCCCTCCGATTCTAATGTGGCCACCACCAGAAATGCACACCTCATCGCACTGCCGCCTAGAGAGGGTTTGGCGGTGGTTCTCGATTGATCGGTTAAGTTCTGCGATTTTCTTGCGGAGCCGACGATTGAGCCTCTGCCTCTTCCACCTATTGAGTAATAATTTCTTGGCCTCTAGGAGCTGCGTAAAGCGGCTGTACATTCTATCTGTTTCTAAACCTGTGTGTATCTTTTCGCCGCCTCGTTAACGTCATTTTTTGAGCTGTTTGGCCCATTGATCCAGGCTTGGGGTTGAGTCTTCAGCTTGAGCGCGTTCATTTCAAATATACCGGACGTAATCCCAATTCATCAAACTAAACTCTCTTTCGGGCTTGCCATTTACACACTAATATGGGTAGCTAGGACAGTATGGTCACTCCCCGGATCCACGTGCATATTATGCCACGTAGCAGATTTAACATTTGTAACAAATGTAACATCTGGCGTGATGTCCCTCGTGCAGGAGTTACACATCCTGGTCAGAAATTCTGGCTCCGTGTCTAGGGTGAGGTTCAAGTTCGCCGCTGCTTGCCCAAAATTCTCGCCTTTACGTGATGACCGCAGATAACCCCAAGCCTGATGAGAAGCGTTGAAATCACCCGCAACCACAAGTGGGGAAATACCAACCCTGGCGGCAGCCCTACTCAAGAGCGCCGCAAACCTTTGTCTCGAGTAATTGGCGAACTATAAATATGAAGACTGAAAACTCTACTTGAAATGACACCCTGGAAAAATTTCGACCTATGAGTGTTCCACCTTAGCAGTGTCCATAGGAAGATTGTGCGAAATAAAGGTGTATTTCTTAGAGACGAGCGTGCAAATGCCTCTTCGTCCGTCTCCATAACGAGCGTGAGATTGGTAACCTGGCAGAATGACAGCCTCCGAAAGCACCCCCTGAATCAAAATGACGTGTGGCTACTCAGACTGTGAACGAATTAACTGCTGAAGAACCGCCTTCTTGCGGGTGAATCCCCAGCAGTTCCACTGCAAAAAAAAAACTGTCCCCGAGTTTGCATGTTACACTGCAAATATCGTCCAAATACGATAATCTTGTGTCGCGTCTGGAGAGAGGGAACAAAACGTTTATTTGATGCTGTGCGCTAGAAAATCGGTGAATGGTATTGCGTAGGCGCTGCGTTAGAGTGCCTCGAGTGTGTAGCAGAGGCGAACGAGTACATCAAGGCACGTTAGACTCGAACGCCATTTCGCAGTGATCTTTAAAAACGAAGGCGTGCGCGCCCGCGCAGAAAGCTGCGCGCCTGTCTCGGAGGTGACAAGGTGTAAAACTCAAAGCGACGGGCAGGTGCCACCACCGTGTCTTCTTAGCAAAGCGTTGGAAACACTCAACTCTTTGAGCATCGCGTTCTACTGTCAGCGCAACGTGATAAACGCTACGGTCCTTAAAGCTACTTGTGTATGCCCTCACTTGTATAAAGGCACACATACAAAACATCGGCGTGTTGTTATGGTGCCTCAGATATGCACAATGATTGCTTTTATAGACGATTGTGTTTCTTGGGGACCTTCGACGCAAAACGTTTGGTCTGTCTGTGTCTGTCTGTCTGTCTGTCTGTCTGTCTGTACATTTGTCTGTTTGTCCACTCTTATCGGCACCGGGTATGAGAAACGGCCAGCCCCATCCACAGCGACCACCAATGTTGCTCAAGGTTGAGCGTTCATACTTGTGATATTATCAATTAAAAAGCAATTATTGCGCGTGTCTGGGGCACCATAACAACACGCATATATTCTGCATATGCATTTCTTACTAGAAAAGGCATACATAGGTAATTTTAAGGACCGTAGCGCTTATCACGCTGCGCTTACCATGCAATGCCTGCACGGAACGGGGAGCGTTTCCAACGCTTGGCCATGACGATAAGGTGGTGGCACCTACCCGTCGCCTCACGTTCTACACCTTATCACCTCTGAGACGGGCGCGCGCGGCCACGTGCTTTGTTTTCCAAAAGAAACTGCCAGATGGCGCTCATGTCTCACGTGTGACGTGTCTCGATGCGCTCGTTCGCCTCCGCTACACGCTCGAAGATCTCTAACGCAGCGCCTCCGAAATACCATTCACCGGTTTTCTTGCGCAGAACATCAAATAAATGTTTTGTTCACTCTCTCAACACGCAAGACTATCGTTTTTGACGACATTTGCAGATTACATGCAGATACGAGGCCATTTTTTTAATTGATAATCACACAAGTATAAACGCTGAATCTTGAGCAATATTTGTGGGCGCTGCGGATGGGGTCAGCCGTTTGATGACGTTTGAAGTATCGTAAGGGCAGACCCACAGATAAATGTACAGATTGACAGACCAAACGTTTTCCGTGGAATGTCCCCAAGAAGGACTATCGTCTTTATTACTGAACTCTTCAGGCGGATGCGCCATGATTAGGCTTGAAGGATATGCACCCGCGTTCAAGTGCGTTGACCTTAGAGTGTAATGCACAGACGTTCACTTCCAACGCATTGACCTTAGCATCCCGCGCTGAACTTCTCCGCCAATGTTTCAACTTTAACATGAAGCGATGGGACTGTTTAGCTAAGCGACTGGAACATTTCTGTCATCTCCGTTTCAAAACTATATAGTTTCTCATCAAGTGCGGGCCTCGTCAAAGCCCTCGTTTCGGTTGGACGAGCAGTACACTGCACTTTCATCGGCGTTTCCACGGAAGTTTCCGTTGGGTTTTCTACGGGCGTTTCTACGGTCGTTTTCATAGGCCTTTCGACGGGCGTTTTGACTCTAGTGACCTGAGGAGGTTGTAAAGCTTCACTCTTTGCGTTATTAGCATTCATAAATGGGACCATCTTGACCCTATGTTTTGCAATGAACTCATTTGGTGCAGCGTTCTTTCTTTCCAGCTGAATTGTTCTTTCCTTCATCTGCTCTGGCGGAATTCCCCCCGTTAGCTGTTTCTGGGATGCTTTGACGCGGTCAGCTCCCTCAGTCGCAGTGGCAGCATGCACCTGAATGCTGACGGCCGGGCCCCTTGATAGTGAACAGCTCCTGGAGTGGGAACGGCTTGTGGATCGGGTACCACTCCTGTATCAGGAGCTCCACCTCGAGCTTCTGAACTTGGACCTGGACTTGCTGGCTGGTTCGGGCGGCTCATGTATCAGTGAGAAGTCCTTGTCAAAGTCGCATCTCTCCCTTCTTCGCTGTCTGACGATGTAAGGCATCTCCAATCTTTCTCTACAGGTTATGTTGGTCGTTTGGGTGAGGCCCTGCACAGAAGGCGCATTTCGGCGAGCAAACATGCTGGTCGCCATGGGAGGTCATTCAGCACCCGGGCCGATGGTATTTCCTGGAGTGGGACGCACGTGAGCTCTGTGGCCGAGTCTACCACACGCATAGCAGACGTCCGTTTGTCGTCTGCAGAGGGTGCAATTGACTAGGGTGGCACCACACATGACGTACTTTGGGACTGGAAGTCTTCCGAAAAGCATAACGACTGTGGTAGAACTCTTCATTCCCCGCAATCCGAGAACAGCGGGATTTCTCGGCTGAATAAGAGGTCTTCTTAGCTCTTCATCGTCAATTTTCATATTGATGTTTCTGATGACACACTTGCATGTGTTGTTGGGCGCAGCAATGTATGAGCTAACTTTCTACCCTGCGTGAATAATGGTGATGGCCTCAAATTGCGCGTAGGCTTTGGCGTTGGCTCGCAATTACGTGCTAATTACAACAATGTTCTGCATAGCGTTAGGAAAAATGATGTCTTGTGTGATATCTGCAGCGGAGAGACGCGCCGCTGTCGTGAGGGCTTGAGAATTCCGGACGTCACTGCTATTCTTAACGTTCAGGCCTCCCCGGGGCCTAACAATGATTCCAAAATACTCTCTTGGTAGATGAGGTAGCCTTGACGCGTTGGCGAGGCGTTTCTTTACGTTGGCGGGAGATTCGGTGCCACCATTCTTGTCATATGGTTGGCCTCGAAGTTCAGCGCATGCCACCCATTCTTTAGTTTAATTACGCTTAGGAAGCGCCGTTGTCCATCCAGAACACTGGAATTATTCGCAAAAAATGTCCTCCCCTTGCACAGTGACTTGCATAGCCATCTTGGATAGCTGAAGCGCGCTAAGCCTAACCTTAGGCCTAGCAAGCCACGGCTTGGTCAAGCAAAAAAAATCTTCAAAAGTCGGCAAAACGTACACCCACCGCGACAAAATTGTTTCCACATGGTCATCAAGACTAGAGGCATCGACTGGATTAAACACACAGATATATTTCCTCAGAAAAAAAGTGAACAAGCAGAAGCTGATGTTTAGACGACCGCATGAGTCGGCGCCTTCGAGCGTTTCGTGTATGTGAAAAACAATAATTTATGGAGAGTTTGCACGCCCACACGGGCGCTTTATACACGGGGAGTCCTTATTCCGGTACCCCGCTGGACAACGCCGCTACCCGTGCCCACTGGACTAGAGCTCTTTGGACCTTCAGCCCTGAGAAATTGAGTAGGGATGCCTCCCATGCCTCTCTGGTGGAGGAAGGGTTAGGGGAAGGGAAGGATTCATCTGACATGCCCACACCATGTGAAAGTTATTCGAGACTTTTCCCCAGTGAGGGCACCGCCCATCGACTTTCGGGTCAAAATGCTTTACTATTGCGACACACAAGTTGTTGGTCTGCAGGCGCCTTAGGGTTCGTTCATCGGCCTTACTCAGGCCCTTAGCAGGCACCGGAAAAAGGCGATGTCAATCGCAATAGTACATCAGAATTTCTTCGAATCGCAGAAGTGGTTGGCTAGTCTCTGAGCCGGAAAAGCCTGGGTGAGGTGGCCGTTAGTTAAGCGCGTGGGTGGCCGCATCCGCTGCCTCGTTATGCCTAAGGCCCTGGTAGCTTGGAGTCCAAGCAATACGTTTGAGAGAGGGATCAGAATTCCGAACACCTTGCTTTAAAATATCGTAGGCTAAAGCATACCTCGCCCGCCAGATTTATATAATTTTTACGGGCTCTGCGTGAGTCCTAATGATTACTCTAGAATCCGTGTGCGAGGCGGCAAGCGCTATTGCTACTACCTCAGCGCGTACGGAGTTGGAAGCCCGATAGGAGAGCCCGTTAACACGTTGGTCTTGGTGAACTACAGCGGCCGTGTAAAATCCAGTGAGCGACGGCCCTGCCACATCTACGTAGTATACACCCCGCTTAGATCCGTATTGGTGTGTGAGGGCCAGAGCACGCGCCCCTTGTATACCTTCGTATGTCTGCGAGTGCATGTTTCGAGGAAGGGACGAACCCAGAGCTTGTGGCGCCGCAGCTCAGAAAGTCTGCATGTTTCCTCAGAATGCAGTAGTGTTTGATGCGCAGGCGGCCTAACAGGCAGCGCCCAGATACCGTCTGCGAAAGTCGCGTATATTGGTTGACGAGAGGTGCCTCCTTCAATTCCTGATAAGAGTTGAGCACCCCTAGAGGTGACAACTTGGCATTGAAGGTGGTTACCGGTAGGTCGAAAGCTCGCTTTGTAGCCTTCTTAATTATGGCGTCGATGCGC